GGCTGCTTGGCGCTCTATCCTCCTGGTGGCATTACGGTCTACGGGGAGGGCCCCGTGTAACAGAAAGCTCGTGAGTGGATCAATCCAGCTCGGCTCTGCTTGAACAACAAGGGCAACCTCCTCTGCCCCCTTGAGAATGCTAGGCCGAGGTAAGTTTTCTACATACACAGTCCTCATGGTGTTGTCTCCCATGCTGGCTAACCGTGACAGGACATCGGCCTCAGCGTTCTCTGATCTCGGGATTTGTCGGATGAAGTGTGACCGGAAGCTGAGCAGAGTCTCTCTCACTTTGGCTAAGTATGCTACCATAGTTGGTTCGCGAGCTTCATACTCACCTAGGACTTGATTCACCACGAGCTGGGAGTCACTGCAGACGACGATGTGCTTGGCTTTCACCTCCTTTGCAAGGTCCAACCCGGCTACCAGCGCCTCGTATTCTGCCTCGTTGTTGGATGCCACGAACTCAAAGCATAGCGCGTACTCCAATTTCACACCGCTTGGTCCATACAGAACGATCCCAACTCCGTTGCCCTACCAATTTGACGAGCCATCTACGTGAAGGATCCAGGGTTCATCATTCCAGTTCGGGCAGGGCCTAACTAGGAGAGATGCCGCGCTGGTTGCTACTTCACGGTGCTCGAGTTCAATTGGTCCAAGAACTCCGAGCTCTCCCATACTGGGGGTCTCGTGTTTTACCGGCCTGGGGACTCCGGAGCTAAAGGTGCATTCTGCGATGAAATCTGCCAAGGCTTGGGCCTTAATAGTGGTTTACGGTTTGTATTGGAGCTCGTACTCGTTGAGCTCGATGGCCCACTTTGTCAACCTTCCCGAGACCTCGGGCTTGAGTAAAACTTGCCTCAAAGGTTTATTGGTAAGGACAACGATGGTGTGAGCTTTGAAGTATGGGCGGAACTTTCGGGCTGTTATAACCAGCGCATAGACGAGTCATTGGACCCGATCTACTTCTCTTATTAGTACCGTGCTGACCACCTCGTCACTCGCCGAGAGGTATAGCTTTAAAACATTACCCACTTCGGGCCGGGTCAAGACTGGGATACTGGCGAGGTGCCTTTTGATCTCGCTAAACGCGAGCTGGCACTCTTCAGTCCATTCAAAGCCTTTGCCTTTTATGGCTTTAAAGAAAGGCAGATAGCGATCTGCGAAGTTGGACAAAAAGCGACTTAGGGTAGCCAACCGGCCATTCAGCTTCTAGACCTCTTTTAACTTTCGATGTGGTCTCATTCCTAGGATGGCCTCAATCTTCTCCAAATTGGCCTCAATGCCTTGCCGGTTGACGATGAACCCCAGGAATTTACCCGATGTGACATCGAAGACGCACTTATTCGGATTTAACTTCATATTAAATCTACGCAAGATTTCAAAGACTGAGTGTAAATCTTGTACTAATTCATGTGAAAATTGGGTTTTGACGACCATGTCGTCTACATAACACTCTACTTTTGTGCCGACAAGTGGCTCAAACAGCTTATTTACAAGTCTCTAAAAAGTAGCCCCAGCGTTCTTCAGCCCGAAGGGCATGACCATGTAGCAGTACAGGCCAAATTCAGTTAAGGCAGTCTTCTCCTCGTTTGCTGGGTCCATTTTTATTTGGTTATAGCACGAATAGGCATCCAAGAAGCTCAACAACTTGTGCCTCGAGGTCACGTCCACTAGGCAGTCGATCTTGGGAAGTGGGAAACAGTCTTTCGAGCAAGCCCGGTTCAAGTCGGTGTAGTCAACGCACATGCGCCACTTATTGTTTGCCTTTTCCAATGGTTAAGTTAGAACAGGAGAAAATCTCAAAGAGAGTAGAGAGTAAGAGTGTTCAAAGTACTTAAGCTTCAATACCTTTACTTCGTGAGAGTTGGGGTTCTTTTATGTCGGAGCTCGGTCATACCTCGCATAACCGCCAATGCCCTAATCGTTATTGCCAGGGCAGGTGTGGCAGGTGCAGGTTGCTGCTACGGAGTACTATCGCCAGGTACGGACTTGACTGACGTGCCATGCTTTTTAGAGACGATAAACATAACGCCGCCTGGCAAGGGATCAGAGCCCTGCCACCGGGTCCGGCAGGTACGGATGTCAGGCAGGCCTCCCCACGGCCTGCCGAGCTACTGTGCACCGGACTACCTGGGGAAACTTTGTCTTGGCACCGAGGTGCCGAGGTGCCTACATTGGGGGCGGTGCTATCCCGAGGTGCTTCTTCCTCAGGATACTTAGTCGAAAACCAGGGTGCTCCCTTCTTAGGGAGGGAGAGCTCAGAGCCCCTTAGGAAGAGCTCGGGCCCTGGGAGGAGCTCGGGACCTCCCACACTTGGTGAAGTCAAGGTTAGTCGGGTGTTAGTCTTCGGCGAGTCGCTTAACCCGCCGAGTGAATAGCGTAGGACTCGATGTGTCTCTTCCGCCGAGTCACGATTGTGCTGTCAGGCTGAGTTGTTCCTTGAGCCAGGCCATACACACGTGTCCCTGTGCTACGAGGCCGGGCCAAATCACCCTCCATCAATATCTTTTCCATATCATAGTCGAACCCTTTAAATAGATAAGCTTTAAAACAATTTTATAAATCATTTTAGAAATAGAATATAAAAATGTTAAAATGCAAGAACAAAAATCCAATTTTATTAATAACCTACCAGTAGGATTTTATCATAATTCTTCTTAAAAGGCACTAGTATTCACTCCAATTATTAGAGGATTGGATCCCATCATAATGATTATTAATCTTCATCCTTTCTTAAATACATACAAAATACTTATCACAAGGTAGTACATGCATGTCAACCTAGTCAATCCTCTTATTTTAGCCATTGGTTGAGAACAATTTAAGTCTATATATACCATACCATTTCTCTAAGGGTCTATTTGGTTTGCAGCCGGAATCAGAATTAGAATCGGAATGGTCTATTCCCATGGTCTGTTTGGTTTAGATAGAATTGGGAATGGGAATTAAAATCAGCATGAATGATATTTCATTCCAAAAGAAATGATAGGGAATTATCATTCTCTCAAATAGGGGAATGCCATTCCAGCAAGAATGAAAATGAGATTCTAATTCCACCCGACCAAACAGTTGAAATTGGAATAATCCATTCTGATTCCGATTCTAGACCCCTATTCCTATGAATCAAATGGGGTCTAATTGATATCATCTCACACCTTAATTGGCCTGCATAATACTAAAAATATAGATTTAAAGACATATATAAAAACCAATATCCATGAGGCATGTGATTATACAAGTAACTTGATTTTTTTTTTTTGATAAAGCATAATACAGGTAATTAACTTCATTTTATTAATAAAAGATGTGTACTAATAAAGGCTCTAAGTTCCAATTTGCATGTAACACTTCAACTATAGGACTAATGACCACCATTGTTATAGGCTAATACACACACATCCACTACTTTACACAGATATGCTTTTCTAGTCAAAGCACTTTTGTAATAAAGGAGAATGAATTAGCTGTTTTACGGGCTGTGGAGTCAATCATTTTGCTCCACGCCAGTCATAAAGTGTATATGGCTCATAATCACTAAATATTTAGTCCCAAAACCATTAAAACAGTGATCAAATTCAACTAATGCAATCTACGTAGGAAAGAGGGAGTGTACAGTGTACCCATAAAAAGACATGTCTGTGTAAGCGCTTTACCCACACATTGAGTAAGCCTTTAAGAAGCCTTTACTTGGTGTTTATTCAGGTTGTGTTTGGTACCATTGATGCATTTTCTTGTAATGTTTAAGGGATCAATATAAATTGGAGAGAAAAATAAGCTATCACATCACATAAGAGAGAGTTATTTCTAACAACTAAAAAGCATGTGGGGGACTAAATCATTGTTGTTTTGAGTCGAAGCCTTAATTAGACGTTTTACTTTACCACCAAACAACACAGACACATTTTCCAGTCTTATGTGATATGACAAAACATGTCTCATCAATTAGTACTCATCAACCCAAATGGTGTCCAAAAGAAATGGCAATGGTACCGAGTACAACCTCAATGTGCACGTGTGTGGCTGTGTGTGGTTGACTGACCAATCTGAGCCCAACCCCAATGCATCAAATTTGAATTCGAGCTTGACTTTGGGCTAGGATTGGCCCAGCTAACACCCCTACTCAAAACCAAACTTCCAAAGTTTACATGCCCAACCCAAAACCAAAATTCAAAACAATAAACCGAAGCCCAGTTCAAGTCAAGATTCAACCAAATTTTCTAAAAAATGTAGTTTCTCGAATGCCCCACCCAAAATTCCAAAAATCCAAATAAAACCTGCACCCATAATCTATCTCTTTCGAATGAACAGAACCAAACATCATAATCCCTTCGATAAAGTAAGCAGGACCTCATCCTCACAAAACCCAATCAAATTCAAGGCTTCAAACACCACCTAAATCGATCCTAATCATAGTTCAACCCAACCCAAGTTCAATTAACCCAATCAATCCAATCCCACCCAACTGCCCAAGGCCAATCAACTCAACCCAATCCTGATTCAACCCCAAATACAATTACAAAGTCCAATTTTACCGTAGAATATCAGGAGCCTAATCCACCCAAAAGTCCATGTCCATGAACCATAGATGGAATATTTGGCCCATAGAGGCCTATATATGGTTTTCATTCTGGCCCATGGTGGTCTAGTTCAACAGAGGATCTTGTTAGGACCACAGAGTCCATTAACCAACAATTAAATTTCCTTTTAGTCCATCTAAGCTCATGATGAACTGCAGATGGTCTTTTTCTTGGCCAAAGGAGAGCTATCTTCTTGTTGAGGAGGTTTTGATGAAGGCCTATTTCAATGGATGGCCCAATTGTTCTACCATGAAAATGGGATCTTTCTACATGAGAAAAAGAAGAGGAGGAGGAGGAGGAAAAAACTGCCTTCTCTTGTATAGATGCATTAAAAACAACCAACAAGCAAACAAAGCTTAGACCAATTAATTGAACCTCAGCATGCTGAAATTTAAAAAAAAAAGTTTGGAGAAGCACTAAGCATCAAGCTAGATTTTTATAATACAACAACGGAGATGGTGTTGTATAATAGTAAATGATCTCAGGAATATGTTGGACCCTGGAACGATCTTCACTATCATCCTTGTCCAACCTCCCTACTAGTTCCCTGGGCACACCCATCAGAGTTAACTTGTTCAGGTTGGTAAGATACTCAATGCCTTGAGGCAGCATCCTCAGCTCATTCAGAATACGAAGATCTAATTCTTTGAGACAAGGCATCGCTCCCTTCTCTATCTCTATTGTATACAACTGTGACGAGTTCCACAGACGAAGGATTCGCAGCTTGAGGAACCCTCCTGCACGAAAGCACAGCCTGTGTCCATCATTTGCATTGACGAGAGTGAGACGCCCCAAGTTGGGCAATGTATCAATATAGGAGAGGAGATCTTCTCTCACTTGCGACCAGTGCAAATGCAAGCTCATCAGGTTGTCCAGGGAGCGAAACCAGCGGGGGACCCTCTCCAACTTCCCAGCCAGAATTAGAATTTTCAGAAGAGGAGGAGGAGTCCATAGAGCATCCAACTCAAGCGATTCTTCCTCATTGCTCGCCATTAAAAACAAGTAGTACAGAAGCTGCATGTTCTGTAGCGCGGTGCACAAGTCTCTCCCATCACCCTCACTCAGCTTCGTTAGCCCAATTCTCCTCAACTTCTTCATGTTTCCAAGCTGCCTAATCATGTCTCCCTCTGCTTCCACGCACTCCAGAACCCGCAACTCTTTCAGCTTCCAGATGTTTGAAGGCACTCTCATTCCATCTATAAAATGAAAAGCTGCCCAACTAAGTCTGTGACTGGACGTGATCAAATGGTGCAAGCTCTGTGACTGTACTATCTCATTTGGAAGTTCCTTCACCTGGGAATCCCTTATGTCTAAGGTTTGTAAGTAACGGAGTCTTCCCAATGAGCCAGGGATCTCTGTAACTAGAGTTTCTCTCAAGTTCAAATATCTTAGGTTGGACAAATCAACCACACAATCTGGTATTCTCTTAATGGGGATACCCTGTAGATCCAAAACTCTTAGCAGTTTAAATCCGAATGGTAAGCCACTAATTGGGTAAGATGCAGAGATCCTTTGAGCAGACAACAGAAAGAAAGAACGGAGACTGCTCATGTCAGTGCATGACAGGATCCTTCTGTCAATTTTGTGCAAGGATAAGCGGCGTGCAGAAGCAACTTCCTTTGGTTCAAGCCCATCATATATGACACAGAAATTCTCCCTCTCTGATACAGAAACAAGCACGTCACGCACAAGATTATGCAGTCTGCATTCCTTTACCATACCAAACGAGTTCTTGGATGCAACTTCAAGCAAATTCCTGGAAATGAGCTCTGTATGATAGGCTTCTGCAACCTCCTCCAGATCCTTGCCTCCTGTTTCTCTTACAAAACCTTCGGCTATCCACAGCCTAATCAGCCTCTTCCTTCGAATCAGGTAGTCCTCAGAGAACACACAACAGTACAACAAACAAAGCTTCAAGTAATAAGGCAAATCACTGAAGCAGAGCGAAAGGATACTGTCACTGCTTCTGTTTATGTCAGAGAGGTTGTCGTCCACCTTCCACCATTCTAGTTCTGTCCAACCTTTGAAAGACATGAGACCACCCATTGCCACAATTGCAAGTGGCAGGCCTCCACATTTCCCCACAAGGATCTGAGACACCTCCAGAAGATGCTGGGGGCAGCACCTATGGGGATATCTTGAGAATGAAATTTTACAGAAGAGAGTCCATGCATCTTTCTCCTGTAGGGGTTGCAGATGAAGAACATGGCTCCTAACTCCATAAGAAGAAGAAGCTATGCCCATCTCCCGAGTTGTAATCATGATTCTACTTCTAAGCTTTGCATCTGGAAGTGCAACAACAATTTCTCCCCAGAGATTGAGAGTTCGTACATCATCTAACACAATTAAGTACCTTTTCTGCTTCAAGAAGTCAACCAGCACGTCGACTAGCCGTCTGTAATCCATTGCGCTCAAGTCATCGGGAAACAGTTCCTTCTTTTCATCGAAAAGATAACTCACCATCTTCCTGAGCACATTCTCGATCGTGTAAGTCTGAGAGACGGTCACCCAAGCGTAGCAGTCGAAACTTCTCTTCAAAATTAGGTTGTTGAAAACCTGTGAAACCAGGGTAGTCTTACCCAATCCCCCGCTTCCGACCACCGAAATCACCTTTCGTTCTGGTTCTCCGTCCCTCAGCCATGCCAACAACAGAAGTCGATTTTCTTCAATTCCCACGACATGCTCATCCTCAACAACGTACGGAGATGACTGATCTCCATGGCGATTCAATGAGTTTCCACGAGAATCACGGACAATTGGGGCTCCTACGCTTTTGATGCCATAGCGCTCGCTTCTTGTAACAAGATCTCTGATCTTGATGTTCATTGCTTCCAGCTTTGTGGCGATTTGAGACCTAACCACAATGCTTCTTGAGAGGTCAACGGCGGTGAGAAAGAAACGCCGGAATATCCCATCGTTGGCCTGGTTCTGCATGGAATAGGTGAACTCGTCGATGATGTCCTCGAGCTCGTAAGCTGATTCTCTGACTTGAGTCACCCAGGTTCTCACCCCTTCATCAGACTCGCTCCTTTGATCTGCATCCCGTGCCAAAGATCTCAGCTTCTCTAACTCAAGCTTGATTTCATGGAACTCATCTTGGGCTCCTGATATCAAGGATGCCTCTTTATGAATGATCGAAGCGACCTTGCTAAGCAAGAACTCCACAGCAATCTCCGCCATGTTTTCTCACTCAACAACTCTCACAGGATAAGCTTCTCCTCTCCCGCTTCAGAATTCTGATACAGTAGTAACACCATTGGGATTAATTCCTTCACAAATCACAACACTTTTATAATTATTAATTAACCAACCAAACAACGGTCCTACAACTCTACTACTCTTACTACAGGTCAATCAATCAGGATACACCATTTCAGCTCCTACACACCGGCCGGGTCCCACGCTTCAGGCTGACGTGGTGTACCATGATTGGTCCAATCTCCTGCAGCTAGAGCCTAGAGGCTTGATGGCCCTAAAGATTCCTCCACCAGAATGAGCGTCAGCACCACCTAATTTGTAGATTAATTTCTTCTAAACTAATACCTCAAGAGCTATTTATAGTATTATTATTTTTATTAGAACCAGCTAGGGTCTCTGGAATCTGGATTAGTGAGATGGTAACTTCATTGAAGTTGTTGAAACCCCTTTTTCCCCTTATTCTTTCTGCAACTCTGAAGTGGCAAATTAGTGAATTACAATAGATCATGACCTAGAATATTATTTTTTTTCCTAAAATAAATTTCTATAGGAAAGGGTTGACCTTAAAAAAAACTATTTAATTTGTCGTTTTATGACCTTTCTTTTTTATTTTGTCCCTGAATTGAAATTATTGGATGGGTTATCACTTATCACTTGGGAAATTACCTGCACCAAGAATCAAAATCATCAACATGGAAGTTTCAGCCATCTGACTCAGAAGCATTCATATTTTATGAAATTTGTTGATGCATTGTGGGTCAGCCTAAAAGAAAACTGAATTTATGGCTTCTGGTTAGAATTTCACAATTTTAAAGACAAATGAGAAAATGGCATGGGGGAGTAGCATTTAATATATTATATATATATATATATATATTCAAATTTATGAGGTAAATTAATTAACTAATACACTAAAATAAGATGGTATTTAATGTATATTATTTACTTAGAGGACAAAAATATTATAAAGAATTAATTATAACAATAAAAGTATTGAATTGGATAGAAAAAAATTGTACGTATAATATAAATTTAAGGACACTATTTATTGGTTGCTCTCATTTTCTAAAATGTAAATAAAAACATTTAAGTCATATAGGGACTTGATACCTAACACTAGATCACTTTCTACAAATATACAAAATAATAAGACGACTTGGGAGGAGTACACTTTTCCGTGAACAACATGACCACGTAACCCATTTTAAGATTATCTCAAACAGTGGTGATTCAAGGAATTCCAAGGTTCACTTTCAGTCCTTGTTCTACATCAGTGAGTAATTTCCTCTGGGTGCTTGATGTTTTGTCTCTTATAAAATAATCAATTTGGAAAGAATACAAATGCAAGCGTAAATGCATACAAAATATAAAGGATTTGCACTATACATATTTACATTTCTACTCCTTTCAAACTCAGCATTAGACTCAGTTTGGAAGGAATACAAATATAAATATATAGTATACAAATACATACAAAATAATATAAAATAAAAGGCTTTGTGCTCTACATATTTGTATTTGTACAAAGGTTCAAAATATCGATACGTCTGATACGTTGGTAAGGGCGTATCGGGCAAATCGATACTGTGCTTTATTGTTTTTTTTTTTTCGCAACCGATTCAGGGGGGGCCGGTTTAGGGCTCCTCTACCCCCTGAACCAGTCAGACCCCCAATACACCTACTGTAGGGGCGTATCGAAAGAGTCCCGAAATGATACGTATCGGCCGATATGTATCGATACTTTGAACCTTGATTTGTACTCCTTCAAAATGGAGCGTTAATACTTGTTGAAGTTTGTTTTTTTATGATATTACTATTCTGTTGCGGTGTTTTGTTTTCCTCCTGCTAATTAACTTATGGGATGCTCACTATTAGATTTAATTTTGTTCCCCATGTTGGGTTGCCCTCCCTCTTTTTGGGGTTTTATCTTTGATTTGATTTGGATTTCAATAACTAGATTATGTCTATAAATCTGATTTTATTGTTTGAAATGTGCCTTGAATTTTCAAGGATAAAATCTTCATGGCTCCTGTTGGACCTTCCAAGACAAAAAAGAGTATGCTAACTTGAGGATCAAGGGTCTGGTGGATTTCAATTTGGGCATTGGGATAGGGGAAAACTTGACTCGACTTTTGGGGAGCAAGTTGTGAGGGATATCTTGAATACCCATGGAAGAAGAGAAGTCTTTCTTTCCCTACTGATAGGTCGACTTTAATAATAAAAAAAAAAGGTTAGGAATTTGTCTAATCCCCCAAGATTTAAATTATTTTTATGGAAAGTTATTTATAATTTTGTAGGTGTTAAGTCTGTTTTTCGTCGAGGGGGTTTTGTGTTAGAGTTTCAATGTTCATTGTGCAATAATTGTGGGAATCTCTTGTTCATATATTTTTCCAATGTCATTTTGTTAGGGAAGTTTGGTTTGGTGTCCCTTGGAATATTAGGATAGAAAATATAGAGAGTGACATGTTTTGGAGAGTTGTTGCAGATTTATCAAATAAATTATATTTTTCTCTCAAACTTGGAACAGATTAAATTTATGTATTGGGCTGTTGTGGTTTCTTATAATATGTGGTTGGATAGAAATAAAGAGATATTGAAGGAAAAAATAGTCCTGTAAACTGAGTAATTAGAAAGCATGTGGCTATAATCAAGGTTTTTAAAATTGAACCGGACAACAAACCGGTTAGGAGTCTGATTCCCGGGTTGAATAGTCCAACCATTTGAACCAAACGGATGGTCCGGACAAAAAAAATAAAAAATGATTAACGTTTTTTAACAAATTTCCAGTTTTGAGAAAAAATGAAACCGGTCACTTGACTGGTTCTCGGTTTTTCCTGTCCGATTTTGAAATCCATGGCTATAACTTTATAAGATTATAAAAGATTTGATGTTAATCAGTGACCTACTAATGCATCTTCTTTGAGTGTTGCAGGGAACTCAATGGTGGCCTGCAGGTTTCTGGATAGTAATGGTATTAAAAATTCCTTGTGATGGAGGTCAGGTAATAAATCCTCTATTGGGCTCTTATGGTATTTGTTGTTTATCCAATGATGGAAGTTCTATTGCAACTGCACTGTTACTGTTGATATTAGGGATGGAGATATTAGCTTAAGGCAATTCTGGCTTGTTCTTTTTACTATAGAAGTAATTGGGATAAGTTTAATTGGAATCGGATTCTCAATAATTTGATGAGGTCATTGAATAAAGAAAGCTTTGCAGTTCCTTTGTCATGTTATAATATTGTGGATCATATTAAATAGTTAAATAAAAGCATGAACTATATAAGTGTACTTTGTTTATAATAGTTGTGACTTGAAATGGAGCTCAAGTTCGCCTGGTTCAGCATTCACACTCTTACTAATGACAGCCTTAACACCAAATTAAACTACTGGTATGATTGCCCTACAAAGTGAAATTTTATGTTATCATGTCCTGTTAAAAATGGTGCTTTGTTTTTTTCCCAATAGATTGTGAAACTCTGTTTGGTTAAATGGTTTATCAAATAAATATTTATCTCGGGTTGTGTGAGAACCATCTAATGGAGTGAGATTCTTTTTAGAGGGCATTCTTTTTCTGGATTTTGAGAGGAGAAAGTTGGTCGATGAGATTTTGATTTTCATTGACCAAGAATTCCATATTCTTTTTTTCAGATTTATGTGGGGACCAGGAAAAGTTTATTTTCTCGGGTATACCCATCTCCTAGGTGGTGGTAAATAACTTTCCCACCTGGGGGGGGAAGTTGCCAATACTTGAATGAAACAAAAATGCCCCTTTTAATATTGGATTTTTATGGCTAAAATGGTCATTGCATTATTTACATGGGAAATTGGGCCCGTTTCGTGCATCTTTTTGGGAAGATCTTCTGGTAGCTCTGACAATCAAAAGACACATTGAGCTTTTGCATGAAGATCTGAACAGCCTGGAGCTAGTTCGGCAGTATCACGTCTTTCTGTGTCTTTTCATACGAAAATAAAACACGAAAAGCTTCATTTAGAACTTCCTGAAATTAGCCCAAAATGGGCTTCTTGCATCTTTTCGGCGTTCTGTCTTTTGGCTGTTAGATCTTCTGTGAACTAAATGGGAATAAACCGAAAAGCGATCTATCCAGCTTGTAAACAATCAAAACAATGTGTGGAAAGACGCACTAAATAAACCTAAAAGAACATGAATAAATACACTTACCCAAATAAATCTTTTCTAAGAAATATTTCTCCCAACACCAAGGTGTTATTTCACTATTAATTTATATGGCGCCTAATGACATTTAATTTAGGGAGAAGTACCAATCAGCCCATCAGAATTTACTAGGCCCAAAGTACAGGGGGAATGCATCATAACCGTGAATTGATGTCAAATTCACGGGCAGGATGTGGTTTATAGGGGAGAGAGGACTAGTAGTAGGGAGGGCTGGAATTCAGAATTCTGCATTGTGTGTTTCCGTATTTTCCCTTCAATTTAATGGTGGATGGTTGTCAAAAAAAATATTTTTCAACCATTTTTCTCACTTTTTAAGATGAATGTCTTACAAAACATTTATAATCACCCGTTACGCTTGTGCTTTTTCTAACTTGCAAGCTTCTATACGTTTTTAACACAAGGGGTGTGTTGGTAATTCAGCCTACAAGACAAATATCTTCTCGTCCAAAAATATCAAAGACTCTCTCTCTCTCTCTCTCTCTCTCTTATATTCTCACCTTATCTATTGTTGGAAAGCTGAAAAGTGGAAAAAAAAATGCCTTGTGCAAATGTCCTTGCATACACACCTTCTGTATCAACAGTCATCGGACCTTCAAATCCCGGAAGGCTCCATGTCTACCCTCCAACAACAAGGACACTGTACAATAATCGTAACACAAACTCTATTGTATGCAAAGCTTCAACTTCACCATCATCTTCAATCACAGAATTCGATCTCTACGACCTTCTGGGTATCGATAGCACCTCAAATCGATCACAGATAAAAGCTGCCTACCGATCCCTGCAGAAGCAGTGCCACCCAGATATCGCAGGACCAGCTGGGCATGACATGGCTATCATTCTCAACGAGGCTTACTCCATCCTCTCTGATCCCAGTTCACGTTCTGTCTATGACAAGGTTAGCTCTGAGGGAAAGAGAGATTTAACGACGCTGTGCAACTACGTACTTACCCATTTCTGATGAAAAATTTGTAATCAACAGGAACAGGCAAAGATAGAAGAATTCAGAGGCTACACAGGGAAACCAATCTATTCTACGTGGTTTGGGTCGGAGAAGGAGGAGCGTGCAGTGTTTGTTGATGAGGTGAAGTGCATCGGTTGCTTGAAGTGCGCTTTAGTTGCCCAAAACACATTCGCCATTGAATCAGTTTATGGGCGAGCTCGGGCTGTTGGGCAGTGGGCTGATCCTGAGCTCAAAATTCAGGAAGCAATTGAAGCCTGCCCTGTCGACTGCATCTCGTATGTCTCTTCAATTCCCTCGCTCCTGCCTCCTCTAGTTTAATTATATTCATCAAATCCAACTACGATTGAGTTATTCTGTTTGATTTGAAAGACAACTTTGGTTTGGTTTTACAACAAATCTCTTCCCCAAAAATTTAGAACCACGTTAGTATAACATTTTGAAAGCTTTTTGTGATTAATATTTTGTTAGTAGTCTAAAAGAAAACTAGAATTAGATTTTATTTGCTATACAACTTTGTGGGTCGAATTCCCTTCTCCCCATGTATTGTCGACATGTGGTGTCAGTGTCACTACAACTAGGGCAGACCCAACTGAAATCCGATTCGACTCAATCCAAGTTTTTTGCATGGATATTGTTCCTGAGGTTTTGGGCTCCAGTTTGGTCTAGGTTAAAATGTTGGTCGTTCATTAAGAAGGATCACTAGGCCAGTGGTTGAAACTATTTTTTAGTTTTAGGGGCGAATACCTCTATTAGGAATGGCAATGGGACCGGCCAGTTTGAAGCGGCGACTACATTCCTTATCCCCGATTCTTGGTGAAGACGGGTTCCTTGCATGGATCCAAATCTCCGGAGTTTTTTTTTTATTAAAAGAAATTTTGAGAAAATAGATTTATTTAAAATAAAGAAAATTTTAAAATATTATAGTATTATATATAATATAATATATACATTATGTAAATGATATTTAATATATAAGCAGAATTGGGGTGGGGTTGGGACTAGGGGTGGATTCGAGCCGAGCTGAGACGAATAGTACGAGACTCGAGCTCGACCCGAGACTGTTCTATAAGACTCGAGCTCGGTTCAAGCCAGAACCTTGAGCTCGAACTCGACTCAAGTCAAAAATTCATAAGCTTGAGCTCGGCTTAGCTCGAACTCGATTTTGAGAAAAATGTTTTATAAAAATAAAAAAATATATATATATATATATATTTTTTATTTAATATTTAAAAAGTTAAGAATTATAATAATTAACAATTATAATATTTTTATTATATATATTATTTTCTATAATTATATATATATATATATAATTCTAGTAGGCTCGAGCTCGGTTCATTTCATAATCGAGCTAGTGAATTGGGCTCGAGATCGGCTCAAAGCTCAGTTGAAACCGAGTCGGGCTCGAGCAGCTCGTGAAAAGTTCAGCTCGTTGCCACCCTTAGTTGGGACTTTACTCCCATCCAATCCCCGATCAGGGATCCTATTAATCCCCATCCCTACCCCTACTAAGGCAATTTCCATCCCCCCTACATCGGAGAGGCCGAATATCCAAATAAAAATGTTGTTATGCATGCTTAATTTCAAAGCCTAAATAGTTTTACATTTTTGGAAAAAAAGGGCCAAAACTTGTCAATCCAGGAATCCTCTTAAAATAAATGGAAAAATACGGATAGGCCAAATGCAAATTTCTGAATTCCACTGTAGATCTATAAGCATTCAAAATGTCAAAACCCCCATTCTATACACCAATGCCCACACGTGAATTGGCATCAATTCCGATCTGGCACCTACCCCAATTGTACTTTGGGCCTAAAAGTTCTGATTCTGGGCTGAACCATCATTCTCCCTAATATAAATTGAAAAGCACGGGAACATAATAGGGCTTCTTTGTTAATTTCATTTATCTTCCCATCTTCCCTTGGCTTCCCAATCCCTTCAAAATGAACTCCCACAACCAATTCATTTTCCTTTTTATTAGAGAGCTGAATCAATTCCCTTGTGATCATCTTAAAATGAGAAAAAAAAAAAGAAAAGAAAAGTTGTATTCAAAACTTGAATTAGTTGTCTAAAATTGCATATTTGATGACTATCATGTCTTGGGCCATTTGAATTTAGGATGGTGGAGAGATCCAACTTGGCAGCGTTGGAGTTCCTTATGTTCAGGCAACCACGTGGCAGTGTTCGAATAAGTGCCGGAAATGCTGTTGGGACACGTGTATCAAATATATTTGTTGATGTTAAGAAGTTCCAGAGCCGATACCAGGAGACCAAGGGCAAAGCCTCTCAACGTGAAAGGGTAAGGTGTTTAAAAAGTGTTACCAACACTTTTTTGGTTCATCTTTTTCTACTCACAGCCCAAAGCTCAAGAGTAAAAAGCTTATAATGTTTATTTGAGCCGATGCTACATTATTAAGCCCAATTTTTCAGCTTTTTTTAAGTGCTTATACAATAAGCACTTATTCAATTTTTCTTCCAAGATTACCCCTAGTTGAATTTTAAAATACAATTTATAAAATTATACCTAGTTGAATTTTATAAAAGTATTTTTGTAAAAGTGCTTTCATAAAAGTACTTTTATAAGAGTACTTCCGCAAAGGTATTTTTATAAAAACACTTTCATAAAAATGCTTTTAGTAAAGTGCTTTCATAAAAATACTTTCACAAAAGTATTTTTTATAAAAATACTTGTATAAAAGTGTTTTCATAAAATTTGAAAGAAAATGAAGGACAAAATAGTCAAAAATGCTTATTTAATTGCTTATTAGAGAAAAAGACTACCAAACACCAAATATAAAATAAGTGCTTATTTTTTAAGCATTATTTTTCACATAAGCACTCCCACACATGGCCTTGATATTTTGATGTACATACACAGGTTTCTTCCCATCAAGACTCCATTCACACATAATATAGATACTATGATGGCATTTTGCATGCTTTTAGATAACCAATTCTAGTAAACTTTGTTATTTTAAGAATCATTTTTAAGTTTGAACTGGTCGGAACCTGTGCATTGCATGGGATTTTTAAAGACCCCAAGATATTTATAAACACCTTACCACAAAATTTCATCATAGATATCCCCCATTTAACCCTTCATCACGCTAAGATTTTAATTTGGGATTTTAGGCTATCCCATTGGCCAAGATATTCATTTCTTAAATGCCTTTGATCATACCATTTATGGACCAATCAAACCCCATCAAATTATCTAAGAAACCAATACCTCTATAAGCCCCATTATTAGTACCTAGTTTTTTATTAATACACCGTCGAAACCCCAATTTACCCTAAACACCCAATCAGATTGTTCCAATCCTTCTGAAGTACCTAAAAATTCCCTTTCAAACTCTCTCGTTAGCCTGAAGCACCCACAACCCAAATCTCCTTGATCCTAACACCTCTAAATCAATTAGACCATACAATTGAACTGTAGACACCCAGAAAAACATCTACCCATAAATTTTCATCTTAAAATTCCCCCATTTGTCCCATCATCGAACAAATTTGGGTGTCTACCATAGACACCCCATATGTGCATGCTTCATCGAGTCCCAGTTCAAGAGGAGCTCAGATCTCCTGCAAACAAAGTGGGTGTTTGATATCAATGCCGTTTTTTGAGAAAATAGCGCCACGTAGGCATCACATCAGAAAGCGGTGCTTCAAACAATGCGTTCTTGTTTGGTACCATTTTTCCATAAAAAACGTTGTTCTAGACCATGCCTTGGAAATCGGGAAAGTGTGGTGTGGAGCAACGCCAAATTCAATGTTTTCTGAGAAAGCGGTGCATTGTTGCCAACAGTGCAATGGTGTGGTATCATTTTGGATGTTAGATAATATAGACCATGTTGAAAACGTTGCTTCCAGCACTAGTATCAAACAAAATTGGTGTTGTTTTCTTAGAAAACAGTTTATGTGGTAGCATCGGTTCCAAACAAAAAATAAACACCGTTTTCTCGAAAAACAGTGCTTACAAGTCCACATGCCCTGCACCATTTTTCTTAGAAAACGGTGCAATGTTCCCAGCAACGATGTCAAACACCTACTAAAATTCTTCTTACATAGCATCTGGTCACATATTGAGAATATCTTATGTTAAATTCATGAAGAGATGTCTCCAATGCTATCACACTATGTACAGAGTTTTTTGTTTGAAGGGAATCCCATCATGTTCAAGAAACAATCAGATGTCGGGATGATCATGAGCCTGGTTTAACACCTATGATAAGAGGCATAGTTGGGCCTGGGCTTTGGACCTTTGCCTTTAAAATAATATATTTAATATGTATAATAATGCATTATATATAGCATTGCCAAAAAATTACATTATAATACATATAAGGCCCTTTTGGTTCACGGGAATAGGGGTCTAGAATTGAAAATGTAATGGGCAATTGTTTGGTTGGGCAGAATTGGAATCTCATTCCCATTCTTGGTGGAATGACATCCCCTCACTTGGGGATGAAATCCCATTCCAGCTGATTTCAATTCTCACTCTAATTCCTATCTAAACAAAATAAATTATGAAAATAGACCATTCCGATTCCAATTCTGGCATATTTTAATTCCGATTCTGACTGAACCAAATGGACCCATAATGTTTCATAAATATGCCAGGCTGGGCAGGGCCGGTTTGGGTTTATGATCACCCCTACTCAGATGTTTTGTACCAGAAAGTGGACATGGTTTTGTCTAATGATGGAATACCCACAAATTCAATTGCAGGAGTTAGATCTGCAAAGAGAAGCCCGAATGTCAGCCATCCAAGCCATTAGATCAATCTCAAATTGGTGGTACTGGAAACCACCCAAGTCCAGTGCAAGTGGGTCCACCATAGATTCAAACCGGAACCTGGCATGTCTCCCCAGAAAAGCCACTAATCCAAACATAGACAAGCTCCGAGATGCTGCTGCTGCCAGAAAACTTGCGAGAGAGAATGCAGGAGAGCCTGCCCAAGGGAATCCAAAACCATACATCCATGGCGATGAGTACTGGACTCCAACAACGCCCTTGATCCTTCCGGCAACGACCCAGAGCTCCAAGTCTAACAGAGTTTTGGGTTCTTCTCCCACCGTGGTGCCTAAGGTGAAGCATGTAGCTGCCGAGGATTACCGGGGAAACCCCCTGAGATGGAGGATTCCGGTGGTAACAGCAACAGTTGGGGCCGCTATAGTACGGTTACAAGTGGGAGATAGGGTTGGTGATGGCCTGAATCAACATATTGGAGGGTCTCTGGCGTTGGAGATAGTAAACAGCTCTTGGTTACAAGCCATTTTAGCAGGACTTGCGTGGTATTTCATTGGAATGGCAATGGTGGAATTGGTGGAAGTTCTTAGAATTAAGCAAAGAAAAGCTGAAAATGGGGTTGATGAATAGGCTATGTATATACGAGTAAAGATGGGTCTTTGTATGGTAAACTCTGTAAAATTTAATAATAATCATGTCATAATCGTTAATGTTTATTTAAGGCATCTCCATTCTTCATATTTGCTTTCATGTCTTCCGTATATGATTCCTTTGATTTGTACAGTAATTTGTTTAGTCTGAGATTGGCGCGCCACCCAATGTGATTAGTCTGATGTACTCCAGTTATTTTTGACTTTTTTTTTTAATTGAGATTTGTTTCTCATAAACGGTCTTCACAACGACTTCACTGTCACATCCCACCATGTATAGAAAATATCTCCCCATTAATAATAAATACAAATAAGGAAATTGTTCCTGATGTACAGCCAGGATATGCTGTAAGGTCGGTGTGAAGAGCGTTCTATGAAGAACAGATTTTAATTCTATTTTTGTTATCAGTTTGGAAAGGGTCTGCCCTGTTCCGAACCAGATCAGATTAAATTCAGGTAGGGTTATATCTGAATTTGATCGGTTAAGAATTTGACATATTTATATTTGATTGGGTATCTAATAGGGATGTATCCAAATTCGATTCATTGGATATCACATGGATATGTAAACATGGATGCAAATTTCATTCATTTATACATCTAAATATCTTATTCAATTAAAATATTAATACAGTTTAGGGTAAAAAGGCTTAAACCTTCTTTGAACCTCCCTTCTCTTTTCAAAGTGGACAAACAGGATTTCCACAGCCAAATGCATTAGTTGTATGTCTATAGGATGTGTTACAAAGATTCATTCATTAGGTTCTGTACATCTGTTATTGTATGTTATAACTTTTCATTTCTAGGGAGTATGTTTCTTGCGACCACCGTGGCAGGACTAGGGCTTCAAAATAAGTGTATGTTTGGGTCATTAAGCACTTATTGGTATTTGGGAAATAAGCTCCAAATAAAAACTTATTTTAAAAATAAGGGCTTGTTTTTTTAAGTCCAAATTTCCAGTTTTTTTAAAGTGTTTATACAATGAGCACTTATTTAATTTTTTTTCTTCCAAAATTATCCCTAGTTGAATTTTAAAATACTACTTATAAAATTATCCCTAGTTGAATTTTATAAAAGTACTTTTATAAAAATAATTTTACGAAAGCACTTTTAAATGCTTGTTTTAAAAATAAGCCCCGAATAAGTGCTTGTTTAAAAATAAGGGCTTATTTTTTAAGCATGAATTTCCAGCTTTTTTTTAATTCAAATTTTTCTTCCAAAATTATCCCTAGGTGAATTTTAAAATACCACTTATAAAATTATCCCTAGTTGAATTTTATGAAAGTACTTTTATGAAAGCACTTTTATAAAAGTACTTTTACAAAAGTACTTTTAAGAAAGAACTTTTAAATGCATTCATAAAGGCACTTTTACAAAAATGCTTTCGTAAAAGTGTTTTTATAAAAGTTCTTTTGTAAAAGTACTTTTATAAAAGTAATTTAATAAAAGTGCTTTAAAAGGGTATATTTTGAAATTTTGAAAGAAAATGAAGGAAAAAATAGTCAGAAATGCTTATTTAAGTGCTTATTAGAGAAAAGACTACCGAATGCCCGATATAAAATAGGTGTTTATTTTAAAAAATTGGGTGCCAAATGCAAATAAGTTCTTATTCGAATAAACGACACTTGTTTTTAAACACGTATTCAATAAATATTTATTTTTAACTTAAGCACTCGCAAACGTGACCCTTCTGTATTTCTTCCCTCTTTATTTTTTTTCTATTATAATAAACTTTTAAATAACTGGATCATATCAATATCCAAATTCAATTGAATTAATAAAAGAATCATCATGGTTTGAGATTCAATTCAATCAGTTTATGGTTAAATAAAATATCTAAATCCGACTAAAACGAATCGAACTAATACCCTATAGACTGCAGTAAAATAGATATATAATTAATAAAGAAGTAAAAAAAAAAAACAGGTTGTTTATGTCAGAGCCCGCCTAAGCAAAGCTTTGAAAGCAGGTAACTCGGTATTTCCCGTTGACATTTTGGAAATTTCTTATTAATTAGAAAAGTAAACAGTCAAATATACTTATATCATACCATTACCCTACTTTGCCTTCAAGCCTAGTTAAGGCAGAGTAGTTATTATAATAAAAATAATGAAATGCAACTGCCATCCTTTGGATATATGTGACCTATTTCCTAAGATTGACCAGATTAAAAGATGTTTTCGTAAATACTATAAAGTTTCGGAAAGAGGCAGGGTCCAAAGTCAGTAGGGCATAATAATTTATTTTTTACCATCTCATCTCATCTTACAATCAATCATCATCATCCATGCCTTATATTTTATCAATCCATTTAAATCAATTCTTATTACTTTTATCCATGTGAATTTTCTTGAAATTATATGGTCAATTTCTATGATCCTAATCCAATAGTATATGAAAACAATTTGGGTTGCTTTCGTTAGATTGAATTGAATTGGACTTAACCTAAAGCTGACAGGATTAGCCGGCCCATAGTTACAATTAAATTAGGACTGAAAATGTCAAATTGAGAGATGTTCCCGATGTAGGGCTGTAGTCATTAATGGGAGGTTTGTTGGTAGCAGATCCGGTTTCGTCTTTTGTCTGTGAAAGGGTCAAGAGCCCTCATTACTGACATCCACATAAAATTTTAATCATCGAAGCTTCCAATCATTAATTGGGTGTTCAAGAGAGGGTAGAAGACATCTTCCTTAGGCTTTAGGCTTGAGCCCAAGGTTAAACCTGATCTTTTTAGCTTAAACGTAGCCCAAACTGAAAATTGGCATAGTCGAGTTGGGCTCAGGGCTTCAGGCCCAGGCTGGGCAAGGTTGTTCAATTGGGCTCAAGTGGTCTTGTTACGCTTAATGTACTAAGAAATTATATGAACCTATTTAATATCATTATTTTAAACCTTTAAATAGGAATTTTGTATATAAAATGCATGTATGTATGTACGTATACATTTATGCATCAACATATGAACGCATATGTATATATATATATATATATATATATATATATATATATATATAATTGGGCCAGGGTCACGTTGATGAAAAATAGAAAAGCTCGGGTTTTCGGCTCAAATTGGGCCCGCCCAAGTTGCACCCCGTGTTGAAAGTGTTTATTGGTAGAAGGGTTTAGATTCTCTAGAGCATTGTTTTCAAAACCAGACTGGACCGGAAAACTGACTGGTTCCGTTTTTTCCCAAAACCAAGATTTCTCAAAAAACTATTGATTTTGGTCAATAAACCGCTGACCTGAACGGTTAACCATTCAAACGATTTTGATCATTTTTTATTTTTTTACTTTTTGTCAGAATGGACTAACCGTTCGACCCAATAACCGGACCCCTGACCAGTTCCATCTCCAGATCGGTTTTAAAAACCATACGCTAGAGCCCTCGTTTCTATAATTATCAAAAAAACGCCCTCATTACTATCGTCCACATAAAACTCTGGCCATCTAAGCCTAAAATAATTAATTGGATGTTAAAGAGACTAGAGATGAACTTGTTCTCCATTCTTTACACCCATTAAAATTTTTGTTGTCAATTACCAAAGGTCCAAAGCTGATCCAACCCACCCCATAAATCGTGCACCTATGCTCGATCAAGGTTATATGTACAAGTTTTTCAATTCCATCCGATTTGGCATGGGTTTGCTCCAAACCAAAAGTCCGACCCGAAATCAATAATCCAATTAATAAAATCCAGGTAATTGAACCTAGGAAAAAACCCATTGGTTTTTTTCTGATATTGTTGTTAACCTATATATAGATTAATGTATGTATTTCTACACTAATTAATAGTTGTTTAGTTTATTTGGTTGTATTTAGATAAATATTGTTCAAATGTTATTTTGGATTTTTTGTTTTGTTGGTGATGAAATATTATTTGAGTTTAGGGCTCTCAATAGTTCAGGTCTAGGTTTAGACCAGTTAGAACCGGAATCAACCCGATATGAACCAGAACCGAACCAAACCTGATAGGGTCTATAATTTTTAGACCCAGAACCAAATCGGTCGGTTCTCAGGACAATCGGGTCTCGCGACTAGGGATGTAAATGGATTGAATTCAAATCAGATGAACCAATATCCGAATTTGAATTCAATTAGAAATTCGATATCCGACGGATTTTGAAAATTAATATCCGAATTCGAATCCAATTAAATATTCGAATATTCAATTCGATTCAAATTTGATTAATTAATTATTTTAGGTAATTAATAAATATATAAAATAAATATTTTATTTATAGAAAGTATATAAATATATAAATTATTCATATAATTTAATTATTATATATATATATATATAAATTTTACAAGACACTTAAATATTTTATATATTATATATAGGAATTAAATAATCGACCGAATTCGAATGTTTATCGAATCAAATCAAGTCATATCCAAATTCGAATCCGATTAGCTATTCGGTATGAATAGGATATCTGAATTTGACCGATTAGATATTCAAATTATCTGAATCTGATTCGATTATGTCGAATCTCAATTTTGAAATCGGATTTTCGAATACCATTATATATATATATATATATGTGTGTGTGTGTGTGTGTGTGTGTGTGTGTGTGTGTATTATACATTATATATTATATGTATATTATATATAATTTATTTAATATATTATAAGTATATAGCTTGGGTCGGGTTTGAATCAGTTTGGAACTGGGTGGATCCAGTTCCAAACTAATAATAATCGGAACATTATATCAAGACCTGGAACCGACCCAGCAGTTCCAGTTCTTGGAACCAGAACCGGTCCAATCTATTTGAGTCCATCAGGTCAAACCGGACCCATTAACAATCATATTTGGTTGTTTTCTTTTATTTAGGGAAAGAAGAGAATTGTTTACATCAATTTTCGATGTATAACTTACATTGAAAATAAACATGAGCATAATCGATTTGAGGTGTAAAATTTACTCTGAATCTCATTTACACCAAAAACAAACACAGCCTAATGAAAAGTTTTAGTTCTATTAGGAAAATCTAATATAATCGAATCGTGAGCTCCCCATCCAGGCCCTTAGGATATGTTTGGTTCGAATGACAAACCCTTGTAT